TTCTAGTAGAGTATAAATGTAGCAAGCAACTCTTGTGTTCATTTCTCTTTTATGCAATAAATGCCACCTTTGCATTACTCACTGACCATTAGAGTAATGCCCCTCACTCCATTTCCTGTTAAAGAATATTATACTGCAGTCACGTTTTTACTACATACCAGCTTTTTGAGCAGTTCTCAGGACTATAGGTTGACTATAGATGAAGTCTTGAGGGAATTTGGAGATTCTCTTCGGCACAGAAGATTGTTGTGAAAATTCAGTTCTGCCCTGAGGGTTGTAGAAAGAGTAACTGAAATGTGAGCTAATTGCAAGAGAGAGCAAGAGACAGAGACACAGGGAGAGGAAACTAGCTTCTAAAAGAAAGAACTGGCAGTCAGCTTAGATTACGGGTTCACATGGACATTAATATTTGGATGAGTGGATGAATGGATAAAAATAAAAGAGAAAACAGTACTAGACGTTTTCTTTTTAATATGAAAAATTGACCCAGCATTTCCTTTTGTGCCTGCTGAACTAGAGACATCAGGGACTGGCAGCCAGTCTTCCATTGACATCAGCAAGAGCAGATTTAAATCTCCACAGAGCACTTCCTAACCTTGATAAATATGGCTGGTAATTGAATTAGAAAACATTCTGAGCTGTCAGCTAATTATGCTATTCAGACAATAGCTTTGTCCAAGTCTGTTTCATCTTTGACTCGCTTGAGTGACTTGCTCACTGCTAAGTGAAGTATTTCCATTTCCATGATAGAGGCATATATTGTACGTCTCTCTAAATTCTGCTGTCTGTGCTTCCTCAAAGCAATATGTTGGCATTTCACATAATTACACAGTGTTGTATGAGCTTTGATAGGTATTAGTTTTATTCTAATTTGTGATTCAGTCTAATCTTTGTTTCCATGTGTATGGAAACACATATTATTCTAGTGCTGAGCTACTCTTTTCAAAGGCAAACAACCAATTTCATTTTCCCTTTTCCAGCAATAGTACAGTATAACAATTTAAAAGATCCTAGTCATGCTTAGCATATTAAAGCTATTCATGGTAAAGACACTCATCTAGAACAGCAGCGATAGTTTTAGAAATGAGGAATTCAACCCAACTTGTTCTCTTTGTTTTAAAAAAATCACAGAATGTTCCCATCCCAGCTCAGAGGTGTTGACTGTTCCTCACTTCATCTTCTTGAAGAAATTAATGGCTTTAGATGTTAAAGATAAATAATGTTAATTCTAAAGTAGAATCTATGCATCTTGAAAATACTTGTTCTGGGCTTCAGGTACATCTCTAATAGGTTCTAACTTATTGCTTCTGGTTGTTTTTGCACTTGTATCATCAAAATGCAAAATTTGAAGAATTTTTTGAAACCTTTAACGATTCAATTTTGTTAAAGAGAAGGCAGCTATCTTTTTTGCTCTGTAATGCAAACATTTTCACTTTTAGATGTTATAAACACCAGTTAAAATGATCAGTTCATTGAAATTTTTTTTAATCCTCATCTGAGGACATTTTCATAGACTTTTTTGAGAGAGGGAAAAGGAGACAGAGAGAGAAACATTGATGTGAAAGAGAAACATCGATCAGTTGCCTCATGCACATACCCCAACCAGGACCCAGGATAGAACCTGTAACCTAGGTATGTGTCCTGACCTGGAATCAAACCTGAGGTCTTTCTATGTGCAGAATGATGCTTCTACCAACTGAGCTACACTGGCCAGGGTTTCATTGAATTTTTTAAATACGTTTTTTTAATTGATTTGAGAGAGAGAGGAAACGAGAGAGAGAAACATCGATGTGATGAGAGAGAGAAATATTAATCAGGTGCCTCCTGCATGCACCCCTACTGGGGATCAGGGGATCAAGCCCACAACCTGAGTTTGTGCCCTGACTGGGAATCAAACCGGTGACCTTTCAGTGCATGGGAAAATGCTCAACCAACCAACTATGCCACTCCGGCCAGGACTTCATCTATGTCCTTCCAGTCACCTTTGTATATGAACTTGCCTTCAGCATGTGCCCACTTATTTTATTAAATAAAATTTGACACACAGACCTAATAAAAGATGCAAAAATGTGGTCAGATGCCCTGTTAACATAACAGGTCGGTCCAGGTTCTTGTTGCAAAATACTGCATGACAAAGTCTTTCCTGTTGAATGACTAACTGAATGAAAATACCTTATTTCCTTTTTGTTCCTGGAAATATATTGTTTACTCATTAATTCTTGAGTTTGAGAAAATTCATGCAGTATATTGTCATCTGAAGATGCACCGGCAAATTTTGCTTGTTAGATCAATTTCACCATCATCATCAGAGTCTTGAGTGCTGCTGTTTCTCTTTTCATTCATCTGCTGTTTTGTCTAATACTTGTAAAATGTCTCCTGTCAGTTTTCTCTCATTGCCATAATGGATTGCAATTTTAAAATTCTGAATTCTCAACATGTTCAATGAAAGCAAAGATAATGTCTTCAGTTTTTCATACCTTATTTAATGATGATGCAATACTTTGGGCAATGCAATAAGAAAATTGAGCCCTAACCGGTTTGGCTCAGTGGATAGAGCATCGGCCTGTGGACTGAAAGGTCCCCGGTTCGATTCCGGCCAAGGGCATGTACCTTGGTTGCGGGCACATCGCCAGTAGGAGGTGTGCAGGAGGCAGCTTATCGATGTTTCTCTCTCATCGATGTTTCTAACTCTCTATCCCTCTCCCTTCCTCTCTGTGAAAAATCAATAAAATACATTTTTTAAAAAAAGAAAATAAAATTGAAAGATAATGCAATAATGACTATTTATTTTACTTTTGCATCATTCTGTTTGGTAATTTCATCATTTTCCCTTTTCTTATTACTTTAGTCTCGTTTTAAAAAGCATAGTTGTAAACAATCTAAGATACAGAAAAAAAAATGAAACCACTAAGATCCTACAATATAGCTTAAATTTATAAAAGGGTACAATAGATCCATATGGTAATTATAAGATAAAATTTTTTATTCTGTTTTTTAAAAATCAGTATAATCTCTTTTTGTTCTTTGGAAGACTCTAAAAAGATTAACATTATGAAATAATAACCCTTCCAAATAGTAAGGAATTGTTCCAAAATAAAGTGAAACACTCACATTGGGCCCAGTGGCCCTAATGTTATACCAGGGACTAAGCTGACTGGCAGTATGTGCTGACTCTGTTAATGAAGCTTTTACCGTGGAGTGGAGATGACGCTAAGTTAGTGTTGGCTTTTCTTCACCACATTAAGCTCGCAGGGGTTTGCTCTGGCTTACAGCCTTCTGTTCTGGCCTTCCCCTTATCTGTGTAGATGGGCAGAAAGAATACATTCACGCTGTTGCAAAAAAACCCCAAAAACAAAACAAAACAAGAAAACAGCCAGTTACAGCTGTTGCAAAAAAAAAGAATACATTCACTTCTTTCTGGCTCAGGTAGGTGCTTTCTCCTCCAGTTCATTGTGTTTGCAGAAGCTCTGGTTTATCTCGTGTGTCTCTTCTAAGCCTCTTTCTCTGTCAGAGCCCTCGAACGGTTAGCTGTTGAAGTGAAGTGCATCTCTGTTGAGCACAGAGCATTGCCAGGATCCCAGTGGGGAGCCTTTCTAAGGGGTGTGTATGCCAAGCACGATCTCATTGTGTGCAGGCATGGCGGGAGTCTGCCAGACCCAGGGGTAGGCTGCCAGTGCAAATGCCACATTGACATGACATTTACAAGTTTAGAGTCTGAGAAAAGGCTGGCAATGGAACACCCTTTAGCTTCCTCATTTAGGTTGGCAGTAACTGGGCCAGCTTTGATGTTTTGACTCAGAAATCACAGTCACAAAGTAATGCTTGATACAGAATGTGAAACTATCACTGCCACATTTTCTGTGAAGTTATGAATCCTGTTAGCCTGTTCCCGTGATACAGGATAAACCATAGTGGTTGAGTGCAGAATCTGGAATCAAAGCTGGATTTGACTGAGGGCTCTGTCACTTCCTGTGTGACCCCGAGCAAGTTACTTTATGAAAGCCTCAGGTCCCATCTATAAAATAGGGATAATATCACTTTCCTCCTATGGGTTATTGGCTGGATTAAGTAGTATCTTTAAAAGTATAAGCACTTTTCCTGGTGTTTGTCCAATGCTGAGTGTTCCATAAATGTGAAGTATTTTTCAGAAACTCATAAGAAATTCGGGTTTTCATCTATTCCTATATTTTAATAACAAATATGTACATTTTATAACTTGCCAGGGACATGTCATGACATGAGCTTGTGTATAAGACTCTCTTTGACTTAAGAATTGCTAGAGCCCTGGCTGGATAGCTCAGTTGGGTAGAGCATCATCCCGATACATCAAAGTTGTGGGTTTGATCTCTGGTCAGGGCACAAGAATCAACCAATGAATGCATAAATAGTGGAATAACAAATCTCTCTCTCTCTCTCTCTCTCTCTCTCTCTCTCTCTCTCTCTCTCTCTTCCCCTCTCTCCCCTTCCTCACCCTCTCCCTCACCCCCTCCCTCTCCCCTTTCCTTTCTCTCTCTAAAATCAATAAATAAAAATTAAAGAAAAAATAATAATTCCTGGAACACTACACTGGAAGCCCAAACATGCTTTTCTTTATCTTTCTAGGGAAATTTAGTGCTGGAGTCAGGATCATTTGAGTGTCTCTACAGTTCTTAGCTGCAGAAACCATTGGGTATTAAGTATTTATTTCAGTAAATAGCAGTCCTTTGATTGGCCTGCAACTTCTCTGTGGTATGTTCTAATGCTAAGTGAAGACCGAGAGCTATTTTGAAGGCTATACCGTGACTTAATTGGGAGACTGTCTTTTTGGTGTGGGTAACAAGGTACTTGGTTTTGATTACTTTATCGTGGTCTAGTAGCTAAATAACAGGCTTCTCTGTGCTGCTTATATAAAACATCCTTACTATAGCACTTAGTTTATTTCCTTGAATCATTTTCAGTACCATTAGTAAATTCTCTCAAATGGTAAAATTCTCCTTTCCTCCCACCCCCTTGTTTTTCAGATCTTCAAAGCTGCTGCGGGCATTTTATGTCCCTTTCCTGTCAGATCAGTATACAGTGTATGCAAACTACACAATCCTCAAACCCCGGAAAGCAAAGCAAATCAGGAAGAAAAGCGGAGGTTAGCAACACGTGTGCCTATGGTCCCAGCGGACAGCCATCCTGTTCTAGTGGTTCCACTGGCAGGACTCCTTCCCAGTCATCACTTGTAACGTTGTAATAAAGGCCACCTGACACAAATCCTGGAATCTGGGTGCTTTGGGCTGGTCAGTCACCCACATTCACTTCTTGCCTGAGTGTCTGTTCTGCATGTAACCTTTTGGCAGCTGGGCAGAGAAAGGCCCTAAGTCCAGGGAGATAGAGTGTTCCACATCTCATTGTTTTTCTTCTGTTTAATTATTCACTAGACCGGAGAAGAGCAGAATCAACTCATAGGAAGAATTGAAAGTCTCTGAACTGGGTGGCTGTGTCAAGCTGTTCTCCACTCTCTGGCCTGGCACCTGAGAACTAGCTCGCCTCTCCTGGGCCGTATGGGCCTCTCCACCAAAGCTGTGTGGCAGCTTCTCACAGACCTTCTTGTTCAAACCCTAATGCTGAGAATGAGCACAGCCCAGTCGCCAACCTACATGCCCCTTCCCCTCCAGCAAGACTAAGTTTCTCTAAAGCGCTTCACAGGACGAGGCCTGTCCTGGAGGTACCTCAGGAAAAAGGCAACGACGTGAGGAACTGTGGCCAAACTTCATTATTTAGAATGCCATTTATTCTCATTTTATTTCCTTTACAACAAACTGTAACTATGTGGATTGTTTTTTAAGTGTTAGCATGCTATTTCTTGAACTCAAGACTTCCCTGTGTAAAGTTATTAATAGAACAGTATACAGTATATGCAAACTACACAATCCTCAAACCCCGGAAAGCAAAGCAAAGCAAATCAGGAAGAAAAGTGGAGATTAGCAACACGTGCACAGGACATATTTGTAGAAAATTAATTCTATCAATTGGTAGAGTTGGATAATATCACATTTTTAAGTAATGTATTCTGTGGCCATTTCTGAGGAAATTAAGAATTTCCCTTTTTTAAACAACCCTAGTGAAAAAGACCAGTGTATATTTATAGCAACTATTTTTGAGTCTGTACATTGCCAAGCACATCCTGCATGGGGCGCTTCTCATCAGATAGGCAATTATAATGACCTAATATTTTAATAAGTGTGTACTCTCTTTCCCTTTACATACATTACCTTTACATACATGATTTCATAGTTTATGAAGCATTTTGCACTATCTCATTTGATCCTCAGTCACAATGTGAAGTAGATAAGGCAAGTGTTTTTATACCCATTGTACAGATGAAGAAACTGAGATTACTGGGGAAGGTAAAGTGACTTGCCCAAGGTCACATAGCCAGTAAGTAATAGCACCAGGACCAGAACCTATGTTGCCCAGCTTCTCATCTAGTACTCTTCCATATTTCCTCACTTGACTATGAAAATAGTACTTGAAAGAATGATGAGGTTGTCCAGAGACGAGATTGATAATCTGACTTTCTGTTTTAATGAAGAATTTTATCGGTTTTTTCTTTGAGTTCTCCGGAGCCTCCACTGTCTGTTGGTTAGACTCTCATCACAGCAGTGCTCCGTGGTCCAGCCTGGCCGGTGGCAGGAACACGGTGCTCGTGTTTGGAAGTCATGCTCCTTGGTAGCCAGGCAGGATCCCGTAGTAGTTCATTTCTATAGTCAATCTGGCTCACAGCATAGGTGCCTTATTTCTCCAAGGAGAGTTGTGTCTAGTATCTGCAAATCGGTTGAATCTATTTTTCGGAGTTTCATCTTTCATTTTTCAAAGAGAAGGGCTTTCCATAGGAACTGATCCCAAGAGAGGAGAAAAGAAATGATAAGGGAAGGAATGGCTAGTGGCCATATGAAGGTCTCCCCTCTGAAGGAAGATTGGGACCCAGTGGAAGCACTGGAGAGGCAACAGGTCTGGGCAATAGAGCGTAACTGGAAAGTGAAGATAAACTGGGGTCCCACTTGCTGCTTTAACGACTTCTGCCATTTAATTCTCAATCCTTGATGACTTTTTCCAGATACTGGCACATTTGGTCTGACTACAGGATAGAGAATTTTCACTGAAATATCTTGCCATACCTATATTAATAGTGCAGTGAGTTGCTAAAGCCCTTTACTTTCTGCAGAGGTGAATCGAGAGTTCCGAAAGGGAGGTCCGCGATGAGTGGCTTGTTCTAATTGCAGTGGCACAACGCTGATCTATTTATCATCTTGCGTGTGGGAAATGAAAAGCCTTCTGAGCAGGAACTTACTATAATATAGCACAAACAAAGATCATGATTGAGCCAGGGATTCCTGGGGAATATCAGTTCCTATTCCTTTTAAAACCTGATTTTGGTTTTCTCTGTTCTACGTATATCTTTAATGAGAGCACAATAAACTGCAGGACACTGTGCCAAATGCTATAGGTCAGGGTAGAAAAAATGAATGTTTTTTGTTATGAAGGCATTGTTCATGTGATATTTATATAAACACATTTATAAATCTCCATCTCAGCAGTACAGGGGGGTTAGCTTGCTGGGGAATAGTTTCAAACACCTGGTCAGAGTAACATATCTCTTCTAGAGAATCAGGGTTCAGCGTGAGCTGTCCCTCTGCCCATTATAAGAGTGAAGTGTCTGAGGTACTTATTTCTCCATAGATTGTGCAATATCAAGGAATGAAGGACTATAGATTGTAATAGCCTTTGATTATGGAGCTGAGTGCAGGAGTGGGTGACTCGGCAATATCAGGGTTCTGATCTCTGATCTCTGATCTCTGATCTCTGAAGCAGCCGGATCTGAACGCCGGATCTTACAACACTGAGTCCCATTGCTGAACCAAACTGTGTAATAGGCATTTATTGCCAAAGTTTACCTGTCACCGGGTAGTTGTCATCTGATAGGAAAGAAGACTGGTAATTTTACTTATTTTTTTATTTTTTATTATTTGAGAGAGAGAGATTGATTTTTTTTGTTCCACTAATTTATTATTCATTGTATGTGCACTGACCAAGGATTGAACCCCCAACCTTGGCATATTGGGACGATGCTCTAACCAACTGAACTACCCAGCCAGAGGAAGACTGGTCATTTTAATCTCTTGGGATAATCACAGAAAATTGAAGCCCATACTCTTTATTATTGAACTCAAGTTTAGAAACATGGTTTTAAATCAAGGTGGTTCTTGATCCCAACCATTTATTTGGGTCGTTTGTTGTTGTTTGTTTGTTTGTTTGTTTTAGTTTGGAGTTCTGGGAAAGAACCTTGAAAACTCCATGTGGTTCTGCAACATTAGATCTGGAGTGACCATTTGGGCAAAGCACCAATGGCAGTCCTTGATCGTGTTTTGCATTTCCTGGGGTTTATTGAAATAAGAACTCACTGTGATTGTGCTGCCTTCTGGGCAGTGCCAGGCAGCTCTGCTTTTAATTTGGTTAATTTTATTTTCTCTGGAGAAGGAAAAGAGGCACAATTTCATCTTTGCCTGCACAGGCACATTAAAGCTCATGTGTTAATTCATTCTTACGCTCCTCCATTAAATTACATGCCTTGGTAAGTCGGTAAGTGGACATGTGTTCAGCTTTAATTTTTTTGCAAGAGAAAAATCAGACTTCCGTATGGCATTGTTGTATTTCAGAGGCTCTCTGGTGTTTCAATAAATCTAAGTGAATGTTGCCTTCAATTTTTCCAATGCATATAACCAGGTGGTTCATGCTGCAAATGCTGTCAGGAAGCAGTCCAGTGCTGGAGCAAGAGTTTGTTCAAGTGATTTGTCTTCCTGATCCTTGTGCTTTATTTCACGTGTCAGTGTTTACATTGCATACTTATATTTTCTGTGAAAGAAAAAAGTTAAATAAATCTTGGCAGTTTGAGTTTTCCTTTTCTTAAAGTGATATTTTCTCTTTTGCCTTTAGCTTTTAAATCTTGGTGGAGATTGGAAAACAAAGGAGCTCAGCTCCTTCCATCTACCTCACTCCTACTCTTCAGTGGATAGACCTGCCTTCTATCGTCTAAATAGCTCAAAATGCTTATTCTAAAAACTCTAGGAAGAATTCTTTGGGAAATCCAGTGAGGGTTGGTTTTATTTTATTTGTGGAAAAATCATGCACAGTAGGAATTACTCAGTGTATCACTGTTATAACTAAAAGAGAGTTTCAGGGTTTCATCTTATGTTTTGGGGTTAAGACTTTCCATCAAGTGAGGATCTTAATATTCATAGCAATGTGGATCTAATAATATCTAACATTTAGGTAATTTACCACTTTGCCAGAAGTTGTTAGGAGCAAAAATAACTTCTTTGTGAATGAATTCCTAGTATCATTCTTACACCTTGCATCTTATAGCCAATAACTTCCTATAGCCATCTGGTTTTATACCATTGGTGGTTAATTTTCTTCCCATAGGACCCAAAAATGCCCATGAAACTTAGTTTGATTTCTTTCTCCCAGGTTGTTTTACAGATGGATGCTTTATTAACATAATTATTTTCCCCTGTCTAGAAGGCTCATCCTTGTCTCTGTTTGTTACTTTTACTTACAGGGCCATCTTGAGTCTCCCTCTCCTCTAAGAAGCCTTTCTAGACTTCAGACCCTTGTGATTACGTCCATTCCCTAACCCTCTCTAGTACCCAGTGTCTTTCCTAAGGACATAGACTATTAACATGCATCCCTTGCAAACCTGTCTCTCAAGAGCATTGCTGGCATGTCTAGGGGCAAAGACCGTGTCGCACAAGTACACAGTTCCCTGAGCGTGTTTATGGACAATGAAGAAAGAAAAGTAAGAAGAAACCTGAAACTAATATACAACTGTCGCTTTCAATTTGGCAGATTTCTAGACCACAGAAAATACAGTAAGTCATTTGATACGTCCTATGTTACCCAAGGGCAACTTGGAAGATGTGAATGAGGCTTGACATTGTGTGTAACAGCGGCAGATTCCTCGTAGTACCTTCTAGAAGGAGAGACTGGGCACCCTCATTGAGCTTTTCTACTATTAACTAGAGGCCCAATGGATGAAATTCATGCAAGAGTAGTCCTTCCTTCCCCCAACTGCCGGCACCGGCTTCCCTCTGGCACCCAGGACCCAGCCTTCCCTTCGGCCACTGGCAGGCACCGGGGACCAGGGCTTCCCTCGCAGCCCCGGCTTTGTCCAGAAGGTCTTCTGGAAGGACGTCTGGTCTAATTAGCATATTATGCTTTTATTATTATATACTAGAGGCCCGGTGCACAAAAATTTGTGCACTCGCGGGGGAGGAGAGGTCCCTCAGCCTGGCCTGAGCCCTCTCGCAGTCTGGGACCCCTCGGGAGATAACGACCTGCTGGCTTAGCCCTGCTCCCGGGTGGTAGAGGGCAGGCCCAATCCCTAGGTGCAGCCCCTGGTCGGGCTCAGAGCAGGGCCGATTGGGGAGTTGGGGCGCCACCCCTGTCATGCACAGAGCAGGGCGATGGGAGGTTGCGATGCCACCCTCAGTCACGCTCAGGGTAGGGCCGATTGGGGGGTTGGGGCACCGCCCCCTGTCACACTCAAGGCAGGGTCAATGGGGAGGTTGCGGCGCCACCCCCTGTCACGCACAGAGCAGGGCCAATCGGGGTTGGGGCACTGCCCCCTGTCACGTGCAGAGCAGGGCCCATCAGGGGGGTTGGGGCTCTGTACCCTGTCACACACAGAGCAGGGCCCATCAAGGGGTTGGGGAGCTCCCCCTGTCACTCACAGAGTAGGGCCGATAGGGGAGTTGTTGGGGCACCGCCACTATCACACTCAGTGCAGGGCCGATGGGGAGGTTATGGCTCTACCCCGTCACACACAGAGCAGGGCCGATCAGGGCTGGGGCACTGCCCCCTGTTGCACACAGAGCTGCAGGGCAATCATGGGGTTGGGGAGCTCCCCCTATCAGGCACAGAGCAGGGCTGATCAGGGGGTTGGGGCGCCTTCCCCTGTCACGAACAGAGCAGGGCGGTTAGGGAGGTTGTGGCCCCACCCCCTGTCACACACAGAGCCGCAGGGCGATCAGGGGGTTTGGGCGCTGCTCTGTGTCACACTGATCCCGGTGCCGGGAGGCATATTACCCTTTTACTATATAGGATAGATGCCTGGTGCACGGGTTGGGGCCGGCTGGTTTGCCCTGAAGGGTGTCCTGGATCAGGGTGGGTGTCCCCACTGGGGTGCCTGGCCAGTCTGGGTGAGTGGCTGAGGGCTGGCGAGTGACTGAAGGCTGGCGAGTGACTGAAGCTCCCAACTGCTCCTTTTTTTCTTTTCTTTTTATTCTGGGCCAGCTTTAGCTTTGAGGCTTGACTCCAGCTCTTAGGCCTCCGCTGGTGAAAGCAGGTTTCTGGTCTTTGTTTACCTTCTGTATTTGAAACAGTGTTGCAATCCTGCTGTGGCTGAAGCCCGAGGGACTAAAGCAGGTTTCTGGGGTTTTGTTTAGCTTCTATATTTGTAACATAGTTGCTTAGAGTTGCAGCTCAGAGGCCTGCAGTGGCAGGCGGGGAACATTGGAGTCCTCTGTCACTGAAGCAAGCAAGCCTCATGTTCACTTTAAGCTGCCTGGCTGCCGGCCGCCATCTTGGCTGGCAGTTAATTTGCATATCGCCCTGATTAGCCAATGGGAAGGGTAGCGGTCATACGCTAATTACCATGTTTCTCTTTTATTAGATAGGATTTGGAGGGTCAGACTTAACCCAGGAGACCTTCTGAATGAATGTGAGGCAGAGCCTATCCTCCAGGAGTGAGTGGTGCTCTGTTACTACCAGCCACACACCCCATTAGGAAAAGGAGATTAATTGCAGGATGACTTTGTAGTTATACATTCAAGTTCAATAATTTCAAGTAGCAAGTGATTCTTTTTAAAACTGAAAGCTGTTTGGCTCTCCTAGCTATAGAGTTCAACGTAGACCTGACATTATTAAAACAAATTTGTAACCAGCATTTGGTAAATGAAATGAGGCAAATTCAGATAAGGGACATGAGATTATGGAATTGTAGTGGCCCAGACAGACTGGGAACTCCTATTGTAGCTTCTTAGACTAAATAATGGCTAAATTAACAATTGGGTTAAATAGCATCTTACCTGGGTATGAGCATTTTAAAAAAATTTAAGTGAATCTTAAGGTTATCTTCATAAAATACGTCAAGGGGGTAGGATTTTTTGTTTTTGACTTTGCTTCTAGTTTCTGGGCTGCTGCTTCTGTCCTTACATGCCTGGAGATAAAAGTAAAACCAGGTGATTCTTAATGGTCCTAACAGCCAAAAGATTGTGTGAGCTGAAACAGACTTCTTGTCTGGCCGACATGGCTCAGTAGGTGAGCGTTGTTGACCTATGAAGCAGGAGGTCATGGTTTGGTTCCTGATCTGTCGGGGCACATGCCCAGGTTCTGGGCTCAATCCCCAGAGTGGGGTGAGCAGGAGGCAGCCGATCAATGATTCTCTCATCACTGATGTTTCCATCTCTCTCTCCCTCTCCCTTCCACTCTGAAATCAATTTAAAAAACAACCACTTCTTTATCACAGACCTACAGGCATGGATATGAGCCAACACCTGCCTTATGAGGCCTCCTCTTTGACCTGCATTTGCCTGCAGAACCAGTATTTGGCAACTGGTGCCATTGGTCTGTGATTTGCCCTTTTAACTCTTGGGTCCCAAGTTGCCCAGTGAGAAGGGCATGTTTTGGGGTCTGTCTGTTACCTGCTCCAGCAGCGTTGTACTCAGTGCTGGAGAAGATGTATCTGTGGAGCAGTGATTCTCACCCAGAGCTGCACTGAAAGAATCATCTGAGGACCCTCTTAAAAATGGCCACTCTCACCCTGACTTGTTTGGCTCAGTGGATAGAGCGTCGGCCTGTGGACTGAAGGGTCCCAGGTTTGATTCCGGTCAAGGGCATGTACCTTGGTTGTGGGCACATCCCCAGTGTGGGGTGTGCAGGCAGCTGATGGATGTTTCTCACTCTCTATCCCTCTCCCTTCCTCTCTGTAAAAAATCAATAAAAAATAAATAAAAATGGCCACTCTGCTTGCTCCCACCTGTCCCCTTGAAATTCCGAGTCAGTGGTCCTAGATGGGCCTAGGTGTCATTATGTTTTTAAAATATGTTTTATTGATCTCAGAGAGGAAGGAAGAGAGAGATAGAAACATCAATGATGAATCATTGATCGGCTGCCTCCTGCACGCCCCACACCAGGGATCGAGACTGCAACCCAGGCATGTGCCCTGACCAGGAAACGAACCATGACCTCCTGGTTCATAGGTCAACACTCAACCACTGAGCCATGCCAGCCAGAGAGCATCATTATTTTTAAAACACTCCTTAGGTGGTTTTTCTAATATCGAATGCTATTGATACTGGAGACCAGAAGGCAATTACACCAGATCAAAGATAATTAAGTAGGCAAAATGTTAGGTGTCCTTTTCCAATGACAACCCTAGGCCTCTTCCCCTCCCCAGACCCTTTTCTCTACTTTTCCCAGCCTATCAAACCTTTCCTGTCCATTCTCTCTGGGCCCTGCTTTCTGGGAAACAAAAGGGTAATATGCTAATTAGACCAGGAGACCTTCCGGATGTCCTTCCAGACAAAGCCATGGTGGCAGGGCTGAGGCAGAGGCGGTTAGGGGCGATCAGGCCAGGAGGGGAGGGCAGTTGGGGGCGAGCAGGCCAGCAGGAGGGGCAGTTGGGGGTGAGAAGGCTGGCAGGAGGGGCAGTTGGGGGCAATCAGGCCAGCAGGCAGAGTGCTAGGGGTGATCAGGCAGGCAGGCAAGCGGTTAGGAACAAGCGGTCCCGGATTGTGAGGGGGATGTCCCAGATTGGAAAGGGTGCAGGCTGGGCTGAGGGACATACCACCCACCCCCCCGTCCTCCCCCTCAACAACCCCCCCCCCCGTGCACAAAT